CTCATAAAAGTAATGTGATTAAATACATTTCATTAATTTTAAGTCTTGGTTTAATATTTTTTGATAAAATAATTTAAAGTCCTGTTTATTTAGTTTATTTAGTGGTCTCAGATCTGAAAAAAAAAATGTAACACAAAGATACCCGAATCCTAACAGATAAAGTTCTTAGTAGCTATGTTTACTAATCCATGATCTTAACTTTTCAAATCCATTCATTAATTATGCAAGTATTTTCATTGAAATGTGCTTGCAAATATATATATATATATATATTTCCCTGACATATATCAATTGTTTTACAAGCTAAAGAGATGTCCCACTTTATATATTAAAGAGGTGATCTGAAAACCAACTAAAATTCTTTATTGGGTAGATTTCAAACAGATCAGAAAACTTTGTTATCAGTTTTTAAATTGAGTGGATATTCATTTATTTATATGGGTGAAATCATATGATGGAATCGTTACTAAAAATACATATTTAAAATGCTCTCCCTGTAGCAAGGGTTGGTAAAGTATATCCCCTATCTTTAAATAAAGTTTTATTGGAACACACCACTCATTTATGTATTATCTATGGCTGCTTTCATAGTACAATGGTTGAGTTGAGTTGCTGCAATTGAAACCATGTGGCCTGCAAAGCTGAAAGTATTTGCCACTTTAACATTTATAGGAAAGAAATGTGCTGAACTCTACAGTATCAATTTCCAGCAAAAGCAGTTTACTTTCTCATTCATGTTTACCTTAGAGTTAGACTGTGTTTAATTTTTCTGAAGATATTTTCCAAATACATTATAGAAAGCTACATGTCATTTTTGAAAAGGACAAAAACAGCAAATTTCAAACACTTTCCAACTCATCTTTAAGTTTGACAACCTCTTGAGGTAAAACAGAAATTTACGGTTACATTGCTTCTTATTACAAAGTGTGGTAAAGACTCTACTATTTAAGATAATATAACTTGCATATCTACTTAACCTGGCTTAGATAAAAGTGTAATTCATGGCAACATAAAGTAAACAAATCAGTGACACTGTGACTGTCACCCTCTTGTAGACCTATAACCTCCACTTTTTCTTCAGAATATATCTTTTTTGTTTATAACTCAACTGACATATGAACCAAGAACATCAATATCAATTCATATATTAGCAAAATTTAATTATTTTTACATTAAAAAATTTTTTTTGGTTGTGCCACACAGGTTATGGGATGTTAGTTCCCTGACCAGGGATCAAACCTGGGTCCTTGACAGTGATAACACAGAAACCTAACCACTGGACCACCAGGGAATTTCTCTTAACTTATTTTAACTAATTAAAATAGGTAGATACATAGAGAGACAAAAGGAAAGAGAGAAGAGAAAGAAAATTAAATCCTATTCTTTCTATATCCTGATAAGCAGTGCACAACTGAAAGGGTATATATAGCCACTCTGTAACCTCAAATCCATATTCTTGAAACTAAAATTTTTATATACAGTAAATGAAATATCAGAATACCTAGAGTATGTCAGTTTCCATAATTAATAGTTCAGTTTGCTAAAATTAGCTTAGCCACAGCAGTACATGGTGTGGCTATCTTATTCCTCACACACTAGGAATACTCTACTCAGACTAGCCATTTCCCTCTTGCAGGCAATGAAACTAGCAAGGTGAGAAATTACACTATTACTGTAAACTAAGTTCTTCTATCTCATTCCCTCCACTTAATTTATAGAAACTTGACTCCTAATCAAAGAACCTTTATAAATGTTTTCTTTCAAAACAAGTAAAAATTGAAATTTGACCAACCTACATAAAAAATGGAAGAATCCCACGTTTGAGAAATAATGACTTTTACTCATTATTCTACCACTAAATGAGAGGAAAGACAGGGAAAGTTTAATTACTTGGTCTTGTACTTGTTAAATCAGAAGAATCTATAGAGATGTTAGCCTTGAAAATGAGGAGGAAACATTTCTTAGGGAAAAGTGAAAGGAAAGAAAAATGAAGAAGGGCTTGGTGAAAGAACCAAAACTTGCCAGAGCTTTTCTTTAAAACTAATTGGTCACCAAGTCCTATGAATTTTAAAATGTCTTATACTCTGTGCCCTCTTTTTTTAAACTATAATGTAGTTAAACCAGACATGTCTGTAAAATAGTCTTCTCCATGATTTCTTCCCTCTGATGTCCCTTCTCTTCATCTTTCACAGTACAATTATCTTCTAAAATAATACAGTGAATCATTACTGCACAAAAAATTCAACATGCTCCCATTTATATCATTTGGATGAATTTACTGGCTTTAATCAGAGTTACAGGGTCAACCATATTATTCAGAGCTCCTTTTTCAAACAGCTAGGCTAACTTTAACTGGCACTTTAGTAGTGATCACCCAGCAAGGATTTATTAGCTGTTGTACACTGCACTACATTTGCAATACTGTTTCTATCTTTACAGATCTTAAACTATAGTTGGACACTAAGATTTCAGACACTGCTATACCATTACGCTATGGTTTTTGCAGTGGTCATGTATGGATGTGAGAGTTGGACTGTGAAGAAAGCTGAGCACCGAAGAATTGATGCTTTTGAACTGTGGTGTTGGAGAAGACTCTTGAGAGTCCCTTGGACTGCAAGGAGATCCAACCAGTCCATCCTAAGGGAGATTAGTCCTGCGTGTTCATTGGAAGGACTGATGCTGAAGCTGAAACTCCAATACTTTGGCCACCTCATGCGAAGAGTTGACTCATTGGAAAAGACCCTGATGCTGGGAGGGATTGGGGGCAGGAGGAGAAGGGGATGACAGAGGATGAGATGGTTGGATGGCACCACCGACTTGATGGACATGAGTCTGGGTAGACTCCAGGAGTTGGTGATGGACAGGGAGGCCTGGCATGCTGTGATTCATGGGGTCGCAAAGAGTCAGACAAGACTGAGCAACTGAACTGAACTAAACTGATACCATTAAGCACTTGACTGTCCTGTGCCCACTGTGTAATCAGAAATCAAGGAAAGGAGACACCAACAAATTAAGAAAAAGCTTCATGGAGGAAGTGGAACATTAGCTGAAGGTTGAGATGGAGGCAACACATAAAATGATAGTAAAGGAATTTAATAGACACAGAGGAATCTGACAGTAGTGGAGGGGTAAGAACAGGCATAAGAAAAGCCACTCGGAAGGGAATTAACAAGAGAAGTGTAAAGATGCAGGACACTAATAATGATGAACAATGAGATAAAATCTTGGCTTAGGGAAGGTGGATCCCATTATAGAATCCTGGAAGCCAGGCAAAGGTATTTAAACGACATTATAAACATCAATTAATAAAAAGAGACGAGATGGCATAAGAAGATTATTTCAGCATCCACAGGCATATGGAAGAGACAGGCAGGCAAGAGGAGACATTTGGAAAGAAATTACAGGGTTTAAAGAGAAGCTGTAGTTAAAGAGAAGAAATTTCAAAGAAGAGCACAAGGTTTCTAGACTTGGAAACTATGAAAATGGAGACATCGCTAAAGTAAACAGGAAAGCTGAGAAGCAAAAATATGCAAGAATTGTGAGGAGATGGTTTTGTACATGTTATATTTAAGCAAAACCAACTGGAGCTATCCTCAGGCTCTTCCATATCATGATACTGGGATGAAGGCAAGAATCCAGGGTAACAATTGACAGATACAGTGATCTAGCCTTTGTATCTATTTGGGGCTTTAAAACCATTTTTTATTAATTTTGAGCCTCAAAACTCAGCAATGTAGAAAAGGGGAAATTAATATCTTCACATCACAAATAATGTTTAGAATTAATGTGACTTGCCCAAAGTCAAACAATCTGTTAGCAGCAGAGTCAGGAAAATTCTAGCTCTCTACTCTTGCCATTACAATCACTTGCTCCTAAGAAGAAAGCAAAGTTTAAGGCCTTTCTTCTGAAAGGAGTCATCAGTATGGAGGCCATGAGAATGTATACTTCTTTGAGGGCAGGAGAAGTGAAAAAAGAAAGGATTCCTTGAAGATACACATAATCAAAATGTGGAAGAAGACAGCTCAGCAAATACCACCAAGTTGACAGGAGTACTCAACAGGATGGGGAAAAAAAGAAAATCAAAACCAGAAAACTGCAGAGTCAGGAAAGCCAAAAATGGATTTAGTACTCAGTTGATCTTAAGTTCAGCACTGGAGTTGGAAGAAGATGAATATTTCCCATGGAGAAAACACATCTGACAGCCGAAATTTTTTAAAAAAATTAGCTCTTGAGAAATTCAGGGGAAAATTTTATTCAAAATGTTTACTACTATCAACATCCATTTGGTAGGATGAGAGAGGGGATGGCATTTTACTTTTCATACATTAAACTTCTACTTCACAAGTTATATTAACATAAATGAGTGTGAAATTTTTTTTCAATGTTATAAAATATAAGTCTAAGACAATAATGCACCTATTTGATCAGTCTTATAGAAATATAATTTGATCTTTTAAATCACAGCTAGAATATATTTCAACACAACCTGATCAATTATTTCACTTTTGATTTGGCAAAAAAATTTTCAACTTTAACCTTCTCCACAGTTGGGGGGCTTTTGATAAACATAAATAATAGTTTACTTTTTGCTGTGATCTATTTTACTAAAGCAAATGTCCAGTAAAGGAAAAGAGTAAGAGTTCTAAAACAGTAAAACTACGGACATACCCAAAGTAAAATTACTTATGAAACAATTTGCCAAGTTTTAATAGTAAATGCTAATGGAAATAATACTGTCAATCTTCTGATTATAAATGCAACTTCTGTCTTAAGTGGAAGACACTTAAGCAAGCTAAGTAAAGTGAATTTTTTACCCTCATTCTAACATCACAAAACTTTTTCACTTTCATGAGTGATGATTTTTAGAACACAGAAACGTCTTCACACAAATCAGGTTTAGAAAAGTCCTTGGAAATTATATCTAAAAGTTAAAAAAAGTTAATGACAATGAATTAAAAAATGTAAAAGACACAGAGCTAATCAAATGACTTGCTACTGACCTTGTTCAAGTCTGAAGAGGGTCCTTTCCAGCTTTTCCATTTCGTTCAGTAGTAAAATCCTAATCTGTTTACTGTGTCCCATTTTGGCTTCTAGAGGATTTGAAATCTTTCAGAAGAATTAACAGAACTCCGAAATCGAATGAGTTGCCCCTAATGAAACGAAAAAGGAATTAAGATAAAGAAAATAACTATTATCTTAAATTCTCTAGGGCTGACAGCTACACACTTACATGTTCAAAACGTGTTTTTAACCCTATCAGAGAATGAATCTTATAAATAAGAACAGAAGAAGCAAACTGAAAAGTTGTCTCCTCCCTTCGAGGACAAGACCAAGGTAAAAATTACAATATAAAAAAATGAAGTATTTTCATAGAAAAGCAATACGTTTTGGAAAACCTGCCGTTGGGTAGGGGGTAAAATTCCCAGCCCCAAGCCAAACGACTCTGAAGGCTTCATATGGCACTTGGCTTACAAGAGATTAGCCTGCTCGAAGATAACAGGTGGGAGATCTCCCCATTCCCAAATTCGGGTCGGAAGCCACCAATAGGGAGATGAGAACAGAGGGAAGCAGTTGTTGCCGCTGGAATAGCTGCCGTGAACATAGAATGTACAGACAGAGCTATAGATAGAAAGAACGCATTTCCCCGGGAGGCCGGCGGCATTCCTAGCACTTACACCGAGCAAGTTATACGTGCGGCTTCAGGGACGCTGCAGGACCGGCGACTCCGGTGTTAGGAGTCGGGGGAGGAGACTGGAAGGAAAGCTAGAGGGGAAAGGCAGGCTGCCCAGGCGCAGAAGGAAGCTGCAGACAAGGAGCGCCGGGCGCCGTGAAGGGCAAAGGGAGGGGCGGCGGCAGCCGGGGCAGGGCCGACGCCGCCGTGTGAGAGGCAGAGCGCTTCTCCGTGACTCCGCCTCGCGCCGGTCCCCGGGGAGACCCTCGATCCCCACGGGGCCTCAAGAGCACACAGCCGGGTGCGAGCTGACAGGTCCCCTCGCCCACTTCCGGGAGGCTCGGCCCCAGTTCGCCGGGACCGCTAGTCTCGCGAGAGTCCAGTCATTGGTGGCCCGGGCCTGGGAGACTGCTGGGAGCCGCTTTTTTTCTCGCCTCGAGGGAGGTGCGACGGCCGGGGCATGCCTCTTTTATTGCCTGGGAGATAGTGGTTGAACATTAAAATGCTGCGGTAGAGAGCTAGGTAGAGCTGCACTAGAGGATTATTTTGTGAACCCGCTGAATGGCGGGAGGCAAGCCATCTGGCTTCTTTTGCGTTTTCTCCCACGTTATGTTTTGTGTCTTCGTTTTGAATGTTTTACGTGGCCTCAGTTTACTTGGCCTAAATTCTCTGAGCCTTGATTTCCTCATCTCTAAAATGAGGGGCATGGCTACAGTCCCGGACATTCCATCCTTCACGTGTCCACATCTTCCTGACCGCAGACATGGCAGGACGAGGTAGGTAACATGTGGCCAGTCTGCAAACAATCAACAGGGCAAATACACTTGCGTTTACAACATCTGGTTGTACTTAATATACACTGCATAGACTGGAAGATCGTCAAAGATTAAGAATCTATATTGCCTGCAACAGCCGTGGATCAGGTCAGCCATTCAGGAGATGGTGCAGATGCCTAAGGAGATATTAATGGCTGAGGGAAAAGGAAAGCCCATCTTCCAGGGAAAATGGACAAAAGGTTTGGAGTTTGAAGAAGAATCTTGATTTCTTTATTGTGGAATTACTGTAGGTCCAAGAAACAATGGGTTAAAAGCTAAAGATACTGAAATGTTCACTTGTTTCGGTAGTTTCCTGAGGACGCCTAGTTACAAATGGTCCAAAACTGTGTTTGGAAATGCACAACTCTTTTATTCATTCAACGGATAGTTTTTTGAGCACCTACCATTAGCCAGGCTCAAGGGTGCTGGGAATGCAGCAATGAAACAAAATCACTGCCCTCAGGCAACTCCTACATGTGATTGGTGGGAGACTGATAAACAAGTAAATTATGTAAGATAATTAATTAAAGGTTGTAAGACATAAAGCTAAGAAAGGGAAAATGGAAGAATCAGGACAGGGTGGTTTGCAATTTTAAGTACAATTATCAGTAAAGGACTTGCTGGTAAGTTGACATTTGATCCAAAACAGAGAAAGAAGATAGAGGATATCCAGGGTAAGAAGGTTAATATACAGAGGTACCAGAAGTGCAGGAGCCTGGATGCAGCAGCATACTTGGTGAATTCAAGGAGGCAACTGTAGCTGAGTTAAGAAGGAAGTGGTAAGGAATTAGGACAGATAGACGGGGTGGGGTGAGTGGTCAGAACCTAAAAGGCTTTGTCGACTCTTGTAAGGACTTAGGCTTTTGCTCTGCAAGAAGAGCCATCGGAGGATTTTGAACAGAGGAGTGACATAATCATCTGACATATTAAAAGGATCACCTGTCATCTTTATAAGTGTTGGTCGAACAATCGTGTCCAACTCTTTGCGACCCCATGGACTGTAGCCCACCAGGCTCCTCTGTCTATGGAATTTTCCAGGCAAGAATTCTGGAGTGGGTTGTCATTCCCTTCTCCAGGGCATCTTGCAGCCTAGGGATCGAATCCAGGTCTCCTTCATTGCAGGCAGATTCTTCACTGTTTGAGCATATAAGCTTAAGATGTGGTGAAGAAGGAAGCAAGGAGATCTGTTAAGAATCTATTTCAATTATCCAAGCAAGAGATAGTGAGGGGTGTGTGTGTGTGTGTGTGTGTGTGTGTGTGTGTAGTAGTGAAGATGGTGAGAAGTTCTTGAGCTATGAATCTTTTCATGGTCAAGCTTACCATTTGCTGGTGGAGAGAAAAGGAGTAAGTGATGATTCATGAGTTTTTAGCTTGAGCAACCAGAACATTACTGTCCAGTAGAAATATAATGTGCTGCATAGGTAATGAAAATTCTCCTTCTAGCCACATCAAAAAAAAGTAAAAAGAAACAGCTGAAATCAATTTTAATAATATATTTTATTTAATTCAGTGTAACAAACATCATTTCAACACACAACTAATTGAAGTTATTAATAAAATATTTTAGATTATTTTTTCATACTAAGTCTTTTAAATATAAGGTATATTTTACATTACAGCATGTCTCAGTTCTGATAGGGACATTTCAAGTGCTTGATTGCTTCATTTGTCAAGTGGCTACTGTGTGGACAGTACAGAAGCAGCTGTCATTTAATGAGAGAGGAAACAAAAGGGAGAAAGGTGAAATTCAGAAGTTCAGTTGTATACTGTCAACAAGCAAGTGAAGATGATTGTCCATTTGCTTGGATGACTGTCAAACATCCAAGTAGAAATATTCAATTACCATTTGTAGCCCTGGTCTCCAAAGTAGTAGTTTTCAAGTTGTGAGGTATAACCCACTGAGGGTTGTAAAGTCAATTTATTGGTTGTAACCAACAACTTTTTAAAGTGAAATAAAGATCTGAATGCATTGCATCTAGTAAAAGTATTATTTCACAAAGGTTCTGTTTCTATTACGTAGGTTTTGATATACTGAGTCATATATTCCTCCAGGGAGTCACAGTTAAAAACAAGTTTGAGAGCCACTGTTCTAGAATGTATGCTGTGTAAAATAATAATTCATGATTTGAAATGGTGCCTGAGTTTGAATTCCAGCTCTGCCACTAACCAGCTGTGAGGCTTTGGAAAATACTCAACTTCTTTGGGCTTTGGTCTTTCCAACTGTAAAGTAAGGATAAAAATAGTTGTAGTTTAGTCGCTAAGCTACATCTGACTCTTGCAACCCCATGGAAAGTAGCCTGCTAGTTTCCTCTGTCCATGAGATTTCCAAGGCAAGAATACTGAAGTGAGTTGCTATTTCCTTCTCCAGGGAATCTTCCTGGCCCAGGCATTGAACTCAGTATGCATCGACACATGAAATTTTCTTTGCCACTGGGCCACCTGGGAAGACCAAGGATAAGCATAGTAACTACTGTTAATTAAACAGGGACCTAAGACCTGTGCCTAATACATACTGATTACTGTGTAAGTGCAAATATCGGAGCAAAGTGGGTCCTGGCCATATTGTGAAACACAGTCCACATTCATGTTTGTGTCTGGTCTCTCCTTTCCACACCCTGTTTTGCCTTCAGATTCTCCTATCGCTGTTTCATCACCCTGCCCACCTGTTGATGTTTCTTGTCCAGGGTTCCAAAATTAGCCTTTCCTGCTGTCCTTCCTCCAACAAAACACTCACTTCAATGTCCAATATTTCAACCAGGTATAAGAAGTAAAACCGATTGATGAAGTGAATTCCTTTAGTAGTGAATTTTTCTTACACAAAGGCTTGAATTTTAAAAGAAGATTTGTTAATCCAAACAATCTTTGTTTGAGAGGTTTCATATAGTGAAGGATGTTAAGTAGTGAAAATATTATGATTGAATATGATGTTTCTAAGATTAAATTTCCAAGCCTCATGGTATCCTTTTTAAAAAGAAAGGTCACACTGTATGCTATTTGTGACGTTCTTGGAATGCCAATGAACTTGCAGTCTAGGGCGACAGTGGTGCCAATGTGCAGGCTTCATTTTGGTGACATTTGTCATGTGCTTGTCCTGTGCATAACTGTGATCTATATATACACAATAGCCTCATGTTGGAGTTGTTGGGAGAAGACTCTCCTTGAGGAACAACTGATGGATAATCTCAGTTGTTTGGCAGAAACTTAGTGTTTTCTAACACACTGATTAATATTATGTACCTGGGGAGTGGGAGAAGGGCTGTGGTCAGAAGTGACTTTCTTCAGGTTGGTGTATGTATATGTGTATTTGCTGAAAGAAAAGGAGTTGTTTGAGGTATTATTTATGGTTAGGTACCAACTCTGTGAGCTTCTGAATCTGAAGTGGAGGGGCTGCCTTATTTGGTTTTTATATTCATCAGTATTTTCTGCATACTTTATTTTGTAGCAATAGTATATTAATATTATTAATAGTTTTATTCTGTAAAATTGAAACTGTGTTTTCAAAGTCCCTTCTGAGGGGAATAATTTATTCTGCATATTTTGAAATATCCAGATACAGCCCGTAAGGAAAAGAAGGGGAGGTAGCAAAGGAAGTAGAG